TGTGTGTGTGTGTGTGTGTGTGTGTGTGTGTGTGTGTGTGTGTGTGTGTGTGTGTGTTGTGTGTGTGTGTGTGTGTATTAACCTATTCTTTGATCTGCCAGGCCATTTGAGAGCTAACTTTATTCTCTTCTCCACCTTGGTGTCCTGTGATACCTCCTCCTCTCTAAGGCAGTGAAGGAAGTCTTGACTGAACAGGATCCTACATAGCACTCTGGAAGTCCCTTTTCTCTTTGTATGTAAATCAGCTTGGGTTGGGGCTCCTTTGGAACACTGCCAGGGCTTGACCTCTGCACTTTACTATAGAGCCTCAGGCTCTGTCACAGGAATCCTGGGCCACATCAGCTCCCCAAGTCACTAGGACATCGTTTTTCTAGCATTAGTCCAAAGATCAGCTTCCAGAATGGCTGCCTCTACTTCAGTCTATCTGTAGGGACATAACTAGGGTGTCAAGTGTCTTGTGAAGGTCCCTGTTAACTAGGCTCTGGGTCTTTGGACACTGCATAGCTCCTCAAAGGTCTTTCTCCTTGTAAAGCAGCTGGAGTCTGAAAGATCATCTCCTGTCTCATCAAGAGCTCAGGACCTTCCCCTAAGATTGACTTAGATTCGTCAGCATTGTCCAGTATCTTCCTATTTTTTCTTTTTTAAAAAAAATTAAGGCATTCCCTTCTATTCCACGCCACCATGAAATCTTTAGGCAATGGCTCCCGTGTCCCTGGTTGGTGTCTCAGCAATTATTTGATGGGAATCAGAGATGTTATTGTCAGCTTTATGCCATCTATGCGGTGAATGTGTGTTTTCCACGCCTGAAGGAAACAAAGAGAAACATCTTCTTGTGAAACAAACAAATCCCCCAAACCCAAAACAAAGCAAACAGGCAAAAGGCACATGCAGAAGAGCATTTGTGTACATAGATACAGACCAGATTCCTTAATTGCTCTTTTTTTTTTGTCTCGGACACTTGAGTACCCGGCCTGGTGTTCATCCGAACAGCGGTTTTGATGAGACGGGATTCTCACGCGTGGCTCCTGACCACTGCCGCTTCTGGTGTTTCCCCCATGGCTGTCCAGTATTCCCACAGCCCTGGCTTTCCCTTCCACCCTGCTACCACCACTACCCTTGTCTTCTGATTACGCTAATCTATCACAAGAATGTATTTTGTTTCTGGGAAAATATTGGCACTGGGACTCACCTCTCATGTGAACACTGTTTCTAAATCCCCACTTAACCGAGCGGTCATCCACAACTGACCACTCTCAGATGCCTGGCGGAATGGCCACTTCTTCGACCTGGAGGAAGTGGGGACTTCCTTCTGGAGACTCACTGAGAGGCCAGGAGCTGGAAGTGCTTGACGCAAATCTGATGGGCATTGTTGACGTCTGCATGCTGCCGTGCCCCAAATTCTATGTTCAGAGCGAGGCCTTTAAGAGTGCGGATTTTCAGGAAGCTTCAGCCTACTCAGTGGGGCTAGTAAAGAGGCTACCAGGAGCTGCTTTGCCTGTTCCTCGATGTGAAGACACAGCATTCTTCCTTTCTGCCCTCCTGTTACGTGAAAGAGATGCAAGATGCAGAATCTACCAGAACCTTGATCTTGAATGCCTGCCTTTAGACCTATAAGAAATACTACTACTGCTCAGTATCCTAATCTCAGGCATTTTGTTATAGCAGCAGGAACAGAGTAGGGAGGAGACTGTGAATATTTCAGGACTTGACAGTCTGGGTATTCAGGGCCAGTAGAGGAACTGAGAGAATTCCTATAGTTTTTCCCAGGCTCAGTCTGGGACTTCCATGTGCCTTGCCTTACATTTGCTCAGTGCATGCTGGCAATGTAAGGAGGGACAAATAATACCAAAGTTGTTTGATATAACTTCAAGGAATCATATTATTTTATATTTTCCTAAAATTATATGTAGTATATATAAGTGTATGTATATACACATAGGATTAATATAGATATAGGATATGTTATGCCACTTAGGCTGGCAATGCTCTCCACAAGAACTGCACACTAACAAAAACCCCAGTACCAGGCACTAGAAACCTCCTTTCCAATGGTTGCTCAGAGTAATTCAGGTCACTCCCAAAGCAATGTAGACTATTAATAGAGCCTCAGGGGTTGAAGGTAAGCCCCCATTGCTGAAGACAACTCCTACATCTATGGCTCAGGGAACGTCGTGGAAGAGGGAGTGGGAAGATTGTCAGAGCCAGAAAACCAGGAATTTTGTGATGACGTCGTCTCCCCTATAGAGGGCTGCGTAAACAAGGTTGAAACGGTGACAATATCCATGGGCATGCTGACGTTGAAGGGGGACATTTCCACAGGGTCCGACCCCTAAATGAAGAACTAAAGGCTGGGAGAAGAACTGAATGCTGACAGAAGGAGAATTAACCTCTCCCAGGGATGGCTCCTTTATTGATTGTCCAACAGATACTACATACCCTGAAACCATATGTACACTACCAACAAAATGGACTCATCAGGGTTGGTTTATATATTTGTACACACACACACACACACACACATACACACACACACACACACACACTCACACTCACAACACAGCCTGTGTATAACAATATACATATGTGTGTGTGTGTGTGTGTGTGTGTGTGTGTGTGTGTGTGTGTGTAACAATATGGTGAATGTGTGTATATAACAATAATAAAGAAAAAGAGGCTGCCAACTTGAGGTGGGGACATGGGAGAAGTTGGAGGGAGAGTGCCTGGGAGGGGAGAGAAGTAGGAAAGGGGAGGGGGAAATGATGTAGTTCAATATCAATTAAAAATACATGTTTTAAGAGGGGATCCTGTTCATATTAGCTTTGTGGTTGGCAAACAAGGATCCTGCTCCAATGTTGTCTTTTCACTGCTCATCTGCTGCCCCACCTTGAGAACACACACAAGCCGATCTGGCCTTTCCCAGTGATGAATGCTCTCCGCTGGCTATTGACAAGCTTTAATTGCTAGAGTAGGTGGGACCCAAATACCTTTATCTGAAAGCCCTCTCTATCTGTTAGTAACTTATAATAAATAAAAGTATACGTATGTAATTTATGAACTACAGTCTCAGACTCAGTATTATCGAACTTACAAACTGTTATAAGCAAAGAACTACCAGAATGGTGAGAAAACTTATTCTGTAAGCTTGCCAAAATATTTACTTTTTCTGCCTTTTTAACATGTACTTTATGGGATTGACTGATGCTAAAGCAAGAGCAACAGATAGTTTTGCCAGCTAGCCTCCAGATAGAACCTTGAAGGAGAATTCAGTTAAGTGGCCAGGGGCCCAGGATCTCGTAGCATTCTCCACCAAAGGCACCATCTGCAAGCAGACTGGGCTACCAGCCTCACCCCATCTAATGCATGCAGGGAAAGAGTATCTTTCTAATCACCTTGGTCAGCCTCCTAACTCGCAAACCTCCAGTTCCATCAGGGGAGAAAACACGAATATAGCTTATCGTAATAAAAAACTCTCTGGTGCATGTTTAGATAAGGATATTAGGAACTATTGGTCATATGAGTTTCTAATTAGCTTAGTACATGTGCTAGCTAACACCTCGATAGTATATACTAAAGTTCATTTGTGTGTGTGCACGCGCGTGCACGCGCGCGCGCACACACACACACACACACACACACACACACAATGCTGCAAATACTGACAAGTTTTACAAAATGGCAAAATTAAAATTTCCTTGCAATGGCCCTTTCCCCAGTCCCCATCTGGACACCCCTTGAGGGCTGACGTGAGAAGTCACGGCATCAACGCCTCAGCTGGTGTCCCTTTGATGGATGTAGCTCCTGGTAGATCATCCTTGTCCTCTCCTTTGGGGGGGTTCTCATTTCACCCCATCTTTTTCTTCCAGGCATCTGTACACCACTCCAGCTGATGCTGTATTCAGAGGCTCATTTTCTCTTTATTTCCTCCAGAAAAGACTTGAATGACCAATCGGTAAAAGACTTGACTGTAAGCATGGATCCAAATACTCAACATCAGAAGTCCTGGCTCTGCTTCCCTAACATGAGTTCTTAGTCCTCATTAAAACAATCATTCTACCCACTGCCTAAGATGAGCAAGGAATAATGATGTTCCATCTGGGAGCATTCGCTTTAGATCTTAGACTATGTCGATAAATGAAGAATGAGCTTAAGATTTTTATTGCCAAGACAGGTCAATTCTCATCTTAACTCATGCATAATCAGCTCACACTTATGGACAGGTATAGAGATGGCTGAAGGGTTAGTCAGGAGGAGGTGAGAAGTGCATGCATGAGGGGAGAATGTGAGGGGGGGTGGTAGAAGGTGGTAGAAATTGGGTGGTGCTGTGGGAGGCTGGACCTAGGAAATGTAACATTTCAAATATCTCTGATAAAAATTCTCTAGTTATCCAGCCACCCAAATCCTTCTTTCTCCCCCAAACTTGTAGAATTTGCTTAGTACAGTGGTAAGCGTTCTATGATAACATTAAGATTTTTTTTTTGTAAATTTTTATTCTAGAACTAAACAGAAAATTTCCAGGTTTTAAAGTCCTAATCTCACCATAGCTGAAGACATCATATGCAGCCAATGATGAACCAAGACTTGGAACAAAACTCGTCAATATTTTTGAATGCTAGAGTTCTGAGTAAACAGATAACCGGGTTTATTATTCAGTAGTAGAGACATCGTGTTACTAGGTAAGTTCTAAAGGTATAATTTTGTGGTTGCCATGGTAATGGTAACAGTGGGAGTGTTGTTGGCTACTGTAGACTGAACTAGAGACACTGAATGATTATCTGCAGGGTGTCAATATGAAGCTTATTGTTGAATGAGTCCTTACTGCGCTGTCTTGGTCTCCTAGAGTACTCGATTTTTAGCAGCCTAAGGAAGAATGAGGTTTGTGTCCGCCATATGTCACCCATGCGGGCACACGAGCTACCTCACTTCGTAACACCTGGAATCACCCAATGGTTTTAAGTTCAAGGAGATTTTTTTTTCTCTTTCAAAAAAGTCTAGAATTTTTAAATATATTTGCATGTTGACTTTTAAACATATGGAACCATCCATATAAAAATAAATTTGATTGCATCCTACTATTTTGCAGGCCAAATTCAATTCAAAGAATTGGCATACAAAAAGAGGTCTCAGTTGATTAGTAGAAAAATAGAAGAAAAACGCATATTGGGATGTAGGGACTTAAGGGAAATGAAGAAGCCATTTTCAAACCTTACTGCAATCATGAATGGGACCCTTTAAAAAGAAAATTTAACCCAAGCAGACTAATTCAATCCCGCTTTTAAAATATTCCTTTCTTCACTACTCATGGCCCTGTCTTCATTTCTATAACAGAATGGCTGAAGAAGTATCCAAGGAGAGCCAGATGCCTTCATCAGTAGAGTCTTGGCACTGAAATGTCATTGTCACTGATTTGTATGTGACTGCTGTTACTTTGTGGACATGAAATATGAAGGAGTTAATTTCAATAAAGTTATCATTCAATAAAGTTATAATAAAGTTGTTACCTCCTTCTCAGCTTGCAATTTCCTCTAAGAGAAAAGTGCTTTATGTTCTGGTCTCTTACCAAATGCTCACATTGACCTCCCTCATTTCCAGAATTCACCTAGCAACTGTTGCTATATTTTCAGAAATAGGGTTTTCCTCTTTCTTTTTTCAGCTAGAAAAACAAAATGCAACTGAAGAAAACAAAACAAAACAAGTTCAAATGTTCAAAGAAGAAAGCATCCCCAAATCACATAGCCAAGGGATAATTTCTTTATCATGCAAAACTCCCTGATGGCATATATTATCTTATGATTTTATCTTCAAAAGTCAGCTTGTTTCAGACTGATGAAATGCAACTTTCCTTTTTTTGTTGTTATTTTTTAACTTTGCAACATATTGAGAAGATTTCCCCATGCCAGGTTATAAATCTCCTTTTTTTTAAAAATGCATGTTCAGTATTCTGACTTTTTACAGTTCCACAATTTAACTACTAGTACCTCATTGATAGTCCTTTAATTATTTCTTTTTTTTTGTTTGTTTTTGTTTTTGTTTTTCGAGACAGGGTTTCTCTGTGTAGCTTTGCGCCTTTCCTGGGACTCACTTGGTAGCCCAGGCTGGCCTCGAACTCACAGAGATCCGCCTGGCTCTGCCTCCCGAGTGCTGGGATTAAAGGCGTGCGCCACCACCGCCCGGCCCTTTAATTATTTCTAATCATTAATTATGAATAGTTTTACAATGAACACATTAGTGTAAATGTTCTTTGTGTCCATTTGTAATGTTGCAATGAGGAGGGAAGTTATGCTGTTTCTTAAAATGAAATTATATAGAAAAGGACAGGAAAAAAGAGCAGGTTTCAAACCTTTCACCAAACTATCTCGCAGAAAGACTGAGAAGTTTATACTACCGCCAGCAGCAAACACAAGGGCTTGGATGTGCTTTCTTGGGCATCTCATCCGTAGGTACACTGGCCTAAGCTAGCGCAGTTGTGATACTATAATATAGGTACACCCTGACATGGAGTTAAGTCTTTGCCCACAGAGTTCCTAGGACCCAGGATACATATCAGCTGTACACAAGGTATTCAGCTGAAGAGGGGGGTAGGGAAGAAATATTTCTTTGGCAAGGCTTTCAAGTCAACAGTGGCTTGTCATGTTATAGTTAATCTTCACTGCTAACTGGACTGGATTTGGAGTCACCTAGGAGACATAGACCCCATGTATGTCTTCAAGGGCATTTCCAGAGAGGTTTAACTGAGGACAGAAGATACACCTTGAATGTGGGTGTTCTAGACTGCATAAAAATGGTGGAGGGGCGCTAATATCACCTCTCTCTTCTCCTTGATCTACTCAGATGGGAGCAGGTAGTCATGCGCTACTGCTGCCGTGCCTCATCATCCCGATGGACTGTCCCCTCTCAAACTGTGAGCCATCTTTGCCCTCTTGGACTGTTTTCTGTCAGATATTTCATCACAGCAATATGCAGTATAAGCAGTAAAGGGTGGTTCTTAGCGGTGGTGCCTCACTGGCTGATTCCCAGCTTCCACTCGGAGTCTTGGGACCCATTTCAAGAGAATGGCGAGCGACCGAACTTGGCGTAGCAGGAGAAGGAGGATGTTTCTCTAATGCAAAAGGGCATGATAGAGTGTGATGTGATCTGCTTTTAACGAACCAGAAACTAAAGTTTTGTGCTTTGTTTAGGTCGTGACGGAGCCTCACTGGGCAATGTAACTAACTTCATTAACTTTCATGAATTCCCAATGCTTTGAGACACACGTACAAGTGGCCCCCCAAAGCTTTTGTCTTCATTCACTCATTCACACTCATCCAGAAGACACTCTCTAGACGGATATGTGTGTCAGGCATTGTGCTAGAAAAAGTGAGGGAGACAGAACGGCATCTCAAACTGGCTCTTTAAGTTCATCTTCCTGGCAGCCAGGTGGGCTAATTGTGCAACACCATTCTTTCCTCGCTACCCCCTCATTTCCGTCTACAGTGTGGACATTCTCTCCAACGGCCATCTTTAAAGACACGATAAAGCATATACAGTGTGGACATTTTATCTCCAATGGTCATCTTTAAAGACACAACAAAGCACAGAAAACTTCTGTGAGTTGTTCAACAGAAGAAACCTGCCATGTCCAAAGTGTCAGGGCTCCTGTTGCAGGAACAGAAAAACAAGAAGGTCAGTTCCTGCGCTCACAGAGCTTGTCCTGCTACAGGGAAGCAGACAGGATCAAGGCATTCCCTGGTGATGTCTGAACTATAGATACAGGAATGATGATGCTATGAGATCATAAAACTGAAAAAAAAAAAAAAGATAAATTCTCTATATTGTGATGTTGTAGACAGAATAGTGATGCCCTAAAACGTCTGTGGTTTAACTCCTGGAGTCTGTGAATATGTTATTTTAAATGCAAAGGGGACTTCTGGGTATTATTAAGGATTCTGAAAGAGGGAGAGTTCTTGGACAATCTGAGTCCTGTGTAATCACAGGGTCCTCGAATAGGGAGGAAGGAGGAATGGGTCAGGGGGAGGGTGGGGAGGCATAGACTATGGACAAAGGGTGATACTTAAAGATATTACCCTGATAAGTTTTAAGATGTCAAGGGGGTCATTCGACAAAGAATGAAGATGAGCTCTGGAAAATGGAAAAACAAGGAAATGGTTCTCCTCTTTAACCTTTGGAGGAAGCACAGATATGCTGGAACTTTGATGTTAAACCACTAAAAGCCATTTTGGATTTTAGTTTTTATTTATCATACAGGGCTACATAAGGTCATTTTCAGGTCAGTTTCTCACGCACCGGAAGCATATTCTCCCCCATTGTTTGTTACCCTCTCCCTTCACATCCCCTTCAGTCCACAGACAGTTTCGTTCCCACTTTCATATTTTCAGTACATACATGTAGCTATGTATCTATAATGTCTACGAGCTGCACGTGAGGGAAACAGAGTAGCTGCCTTTCTGAGACTGACTGAATTTGCTTTGCCTCATCATCTGCAGCTGCATCCATCTTTCTGCAACTGATGGCGAATCTTCATCCTCCTTTCCAGCTGTCCTGGAACTCACTCTGTAGATCAAGCTGGCCTCAAACTCAGAGACCCAACTGCCTCTGCCTCCTGAGTGCTAAAATTAAAGGTGCTGGCTACCATGCCCAGCTCAATGTAGTTTTTAATCTGCCTTTCTGTGATGGCTAAGGATGTGTATGGTTTTTTTTATTCTTATTGACTGTACTGTATCTTTTGAAAACTATGTGCTCATATCATTAGTCCATTTATTGGTTGGGTATTTTATTACTTGTTATTTAGTTTTTCAGTTCTTTGTGTGTTCTAGACATTACTCTTCTGTCACATGTACAGCTGGCAATGATTTTTCTCTCATTTTGAATTTTTTCTTCCATAATCATATGCTGATAAAAATTTTTAAACCACTACACTTAGGATTTCTTATAACCGCAACTGAATGAAGATTAGAAATAGTTAAGGAATGGATTGCAGGGGAACATTATTTGAGGTATTTGCAGGATTCTGTAGGTGGACATACAAAAGGGGCTTGCAGGGGACAGAAAAGCAAGGGAACAGGCACAGGTGTAGAAAGGACGAGGTGCAGAGTTTTCAAATGGGCAGTTCCTTCAAGAAAGGAGAATCCCAGAGCAGAGACATAAAGCCAAAACCTGAAAAACAAAAACAAACAAAAACCTGACTGTAAGCACACACTGACTAGAGATGGCTTCAGAATGAAAGCCAAGGTCACTCAGCAGCAAAGGCAGCAAAGAGGCTTTGCTCTTAAAGACTCAACTAGTGTCGTGTGCAGTCGACTGGGAAGGACGTGTCATCCGAGGGCAATGCAGTGCATAGGGGACAGGAACGTGGTGGCAAGAATGAAAGCAAGTAGTTAGGGAGGAGTACCGCACTGAGCCAAGGTGCCTGAACTTCCGCAGGACAACGCTGGAGGGATTGGAAGAGGCCAGTGAAGCGGTGTGCTGTGTTCCTGTGCCCTCTGTCAACTGCCACCCACCTGCTTCAGGGGCTGGCAGGTGAGTAAAATGGCCAATCTTTGACATAAAGAGGAGGGATTATCTTCTTTGGGTGGACATCCCATTTACATGGACCTATAATTTTAACTGGTATGCATAGAGCTGACTTGTAAGGTCTTGAAGTGGGGCAGCATTGTGGGATCTGTAGAATGTCAGAGCAGCACTTGGGAGCCACAGAGTATAATGTAACTGGGCTGCCTGGAAGCCAGGGGCCTGGGTTACACAGTTTCCTGCAATAAGCATCATGAACTCGAGAATGTCATCTTTGTTTCTCAGACTCTTCCCTTACTGAGATAAGGCATTTTTTATGTGGTGGGGATATAGTTCTGTGGTATTCTGGAAACATTTTTCACACGGACTGGGTTTTACAGGCCCAATTCCTTCCTCAATCACTCATCCTTAAGTGACCACAGGCTTTAGTTGCTTTGCAAACAGCAGGTCGCTAGGCAAACGTCCACAGTCATTTGGTACAGCAGACCAGCCGAGAGCCCAGAACCAGCATTGACTGATGCCAGTGCTCAGTAGCCTGGCAGGGCGGAGGGTGTTTTAGAATGTGGGTTTGGTTGAAGACTTAGAAACTGAAAGAAAACAGAAACTGAGATCATAGAAAGAAAGGCATGCAGCAAAATGTGGTGGGCCACCCAAGCAGAAACATAGTAAAATGATAAGCAGGCAGCATAAAGTGAACAACCAGTTAAATTTCTCACACATTAGCAGAAAAACAAATGGGCCTCGAAACCAAACCAAAATGACAATAACAAAAACAAACAAACAAAAACCATGGAGGGATCACCCTAGAAATTCCCATTTATGACCAACACTAATTGTCATGTTTAAGAGGATTGACCATATCAGTCATCAACAAACAAGAATTTTTGTATTAGCCATAGGCTAAGTGCTCTTCGAATGTGGTCATGACTGATCCTGGGTAAAAATATTTCAAGAGTGACTCAAACTCACTGTTGGGTTCATGGTTTGTATATTTTCTCAGAAAATGTTGACACTGGGAATGAGACAGGGAATTGGGTAAAATCTGGAGTCAAATCAAGTTGAAGCACTGGTGGGAGACGGGCTTTGACAGAGGAAAGGCTTTCTTCAGATGGGTAACAAGAAAAACCCTTCCTTTCCTCTCGAGGAAAGCTAGTGATGCTTTAAACCTCCCTAGATTTAGTGAAATTCTTCTCTCTCTGCCTGTCACTTTCTCCCTCTCATGTCACTCTCATGGGTGTGGAATACAGAGGTAGAGGTGAATGTCATGTCTTTCCTCAATCACTATATTCCATTTTTTTGAGATAGGGTCTCTCCGTGGAGTCCATAGAGCAGTCTAGGTTGACTCCCCAGCGAACTGAAGGGATCCTCTTGTCTCTACATCCCGAGTGATAACAGCACTACAACATGAACTACTATTCCTGGCTTCTTAACCTGAGCGCTGGGGAATCAAACTCGGTTCCCACGCTTGTGCAATAAGCACTTTACTGAATGAGTCACCTCCCCAGTCTCTTAGTCAGATTCTTGTGGTCCTGTGTGCTGCTGAATCAAACCCTCAGCAGTCATCTTTAGTTAAGAAAATCATGGAGCACCCAGGTGATGGTGGGGGACGGTGCAGTTTAAGAGCACAAACTTTGGGAGGTAATGTGGGAGGCCAGCTCCCACCTTTTAAAAGGGTTCCTATGAGGAGAGGAGAGGAACAAGAAACTTTAGATAGAAAGATAGTAGAGAGGAGAAAGACAAAGACAGGGGACAGCTTCAGGAGGACCTGAATTAAAATCCACTGGCCCCTTAATGTCTCTTCAAAAGGGCTTTTTATAACAATGCCAAGGGGTGGGGCAAAAGACCTCCCCCTTGCTAGATCAAAGCACACCACACAGCCAAGTGCAGATGCTTCTAAACACCTGGTAACCATGCCCAGGGTTCAGTCATTCCCCTATGCAGCCCTGCTGGGTAAAGCAAGCTCAGATTCTTGGACTCTAAGTTAGTTCTCACTAGGAAACCTCTGTGAGTCTCCACAAGGTAACTCAAAAGAAATACGTTCATTATCAGTCTTTATGGTTAATATTGGAAAATCAGCACATTAGATGAACAAAAGACACAGTTGTCATTTCCTGGAACAGGCAGTACAGAACCATTTCTAGTTAAGATTACAGGTGGGTCATAGCCCAATCCTCGAGAAATAGAGGTTTAATCATAAACAGGAATGGATCTACTTTGAGTTGACTATAACTTTGAAGTCCAAGATGGAGGCAGGCTGGTTTATCATTGCGCTCTTGTCTTATATATCTCTACCAAGTCCTTGATAGGGTCTCAGCATTCTTTTTGGGTGTGTGGTGGTTGGACAAAATTTGTAATGTATTGGAAGATGCATAGCCTGATCATATATCTGTTTGGTTAGCATAGAAAGAACTAAGAACATATAATGGTAGTATGCCAATAGGTACTATAGGTATTAATAATACTGTAGGTAGCCATTTTGTCCCCTTTAACAGGGAGTTTCCTTTTGATCTACTATTTCAACCTTTTGTTGAGGATAAGGAGCAAGGAATTCTCTTCTGTTACTGCTTCTCAGTTGAAAGGACACTGTTGTCAGGGCCCAGGAGGGCTGGAATGTTAGTCCAAGGCTGGGAGGTGATTAGGACAATGGGGCATTTATCAGAAGCATCTGGTTTGCTGACCCAACTGAAGAGTCAGGGAGCAATCACATCTGCTAGACTAGTTTACATCAGTTTTCAACAAGTCCAGGGCTTTCTGGTTTTGTAGGACTACCTGGGGCTGGTGTGGTGTAGGTCACCTTTGGAGCAGTTTGTAGTCCACAGCTGATTCGTGGATGGTGTCTACCAGCCAAGTGGAACTCTGACAAGACAGAAGCAGACCAGGGACAGGAGTTGAAGAACTTAAAGGAACCCTTTCTATTTGGAGCTCCCCCCCCCCCAGGAATAGGCATTAGGCGGGGAGTGTAGGCTGTTGATTGACAGGAGTATTTATCTGGAGTCCCTTTGGCCTGTGAGAGGTGGATCTAAGTCTAATGATTTTAATTCCCTGGAGCTTACATTACCATTGTTTGAAGTCTGTACTGAAATCCTTATTGTGGAAAGAGCAAGGAACAGTTATCTGTTAAACATCTGGAGTAGACTCACACTTATAGCAAAAGCTATGACTTTGGGTTAAAAGCATGAACATTTTTTTTACCTGTCCAGAAGGCTGAGTATATAGATTGGAAAGAGATGTCTTTACCATAATGAGAAATATCTTTAGTTTATATTTAAAAGACAACCAGAGGAAATTTGAAATCTCAAGTTTTTGACTGATAATAGTAGTGCTTTATCAGCTTATCAGCACTTTATTGATGTTAAAATGTTGAACTTTTGAATCTTAGTATAACATTAGCAACTTGTATTTATATACCTTAAGTCATTTTAGATCCTTATTATTTATTTAGACTTTTTATACCCTCGGATGTTTATAATTTAAATTATTTTTAGATCTTTATAATTTATATAAACTTTAAACTTTTTACCCAATTATTTACCATTAGACGTACAGAAATGGTTGCTTATTGAGGGCAGTCATTGAAAAGCAAGTTCTTTAAAATAGCAAGAGTTACATCTGAAACCTGTTTATCCTTTAATATGAAGCTGTTAGTAAGGAAAAACTGACTGTGAGTTTGCCTTTTTTTTTTTTAAATCAGGTGACCTAATAGCTCTAGAAAAATAAGGCCTGGTCTTTACATATAGAATGCATTGACCAGATGCTGGTAAACTGATAAAGCTACAGTTAGCTGGTTAACACCATCAGAGATCTGAGAAGGATAAATTATAACAGGAATAGAATTCAAATGGCCCATGTATCAACTAAAATGACAGAGACTTACCAATACCTAGGCAGTTACCTCAGGCCCCTGTGGTCTCGATTGCTTAGCTGGGGTCAGTGATCATAGGTCTTCAGCTGTCACATAAGACAGCATTAAACCTCGAACTAACTGCACAGGACAGCATCAGCCTTAGGCTGACAGTCCCAGAAGGTCTGAGATATTTTCCAGTGGAGGAGGAACATGGGGAAACCTACTTCACTTTGACAAGGCAGAGTACACAGTCAACCCAGCAGTGTCCCCAGTTTGTGCAGGATGCTGGCAGCAGGCAAGGCTTGATGTTTTACCCATTGGTTAGCTTTACTACAATCCAGATGGCTTTGTCAATAACCCAGTGTCTTCTTTGGAGGCCTGAAGTTTGCCAGTAGGAAGGATCTGGTGATTCTGTCTATCATAGGAAGCTTTTATTTTTATTATTAAACATTTTAAATGCCATGTTCAGCAGATCTCTGAAAAGTTTTGAGGGCCATCTACTAGGCCTACCCGATTTTAAATCAGCTTTACTTGATTTTACTTATTTGCTTTAGGTTTAACCTTATAAGCACATACGGGAGGCTAAATAAAGCTTGTCCCTGTAAATGATTAATATTTGTAAAGAATATGATCATTTGTAAGGTGACTATTAATTTGCATGTCTTATTCATCTTTAACAGTTTACAAGTTAGTCATTTTTTATAAGATTAGAATATTACAGTTTTATTCTTGCTAAGCTTAACCTTTAAAATTGCTGTTCTTGAACTGAAGGTGTTTTAGTATAAATCATAAATACAGTCCGTAGGGAGACTGGCAACTTTATTTTCCTGGTTCTTTCATAGCGCACCATTATAGAATATCACAGTTTCTTGTATGATTCAGTTTATCAAAATAGCTAAAGCTTAACCAAATTATTAAAGACAAAGAGGCTAGACATAAGTTAGCCTGAATAGAGGTAAGGAGGGATATTTTACAGCTCTTTGTCAGGCTGCTTAAGTCATTGTCTTGCTGCATCAAAAGATAGGAATATCCCAGTTTCTGATGCTTACTGTTTGGTATTTACAGTTGTGGCCCTGACTTTAGTCAGCCAGCCAGCACTTGTACTGGGTGTCTGGGATTCCAGTGTATCCTGAGCCTTTCTCAAGATGAGCCTTTAAGCAGAAAAACCATGTTTCATGGTTGATATTTTAGTGAAAAAGAACAGTTAGCCAGAAGCAGAACTCTAGAAGTTAAAAAGCAAGGTTAGTATATATATTTGGAGACTTTCCCAAAACTATGGACTTTGATGGATTAGGTTTTTGTTTTTGTTTTGGCTGGTGCTACTGTCTATGTGCTGAGTTTTACAGTCTGAATGGTAAGACTGCCTATGTATAAATGTCTAATTATTAACCCTGTGATATAAGTTTTAAGTCAACTTTTATTACAAATTTTATAGATTTTTTAACCATATCCAACAAGCTTAAAAGTCATGAGATAAGGAAAATTATATAATAGTGTTATACACCTTGAGATAAGGGTATATCTTAGAAGTTTTGGGTGGTTAAATGAAACCAATAGTCTATTTTTTTTCCACTCTGCTATGCTCCTTTTCTCTACAAAGTCTGGTAACTTGCTTGACATAGGACAGAAATTCCCCAACTCCAGAGCCAGCTTTTCAACACAAAACAGCATAAAACAATATTTCAACATTATCGCCACTCAGAAGACATCTGAGTCCCTGTTAAACTGAATCCAGTGACTAGAAAGAGATTTGGAGCCCTGGCTAGCAAAGTAGCATAGCAGTCCATGCACAAAGCAGCCCAGGGTGGCATCCTCGGGAGGTGGGGTCTGATCGCCCCAAGCCAGTAGCGTGGGAGTGAGGGAAGCTGGAGCTTGGTCCAGCGCCTAAGTCTGCCTGTAACTGGAGAGGATTAGTGGGGGCACAGAAGCACATACAAGAGGTAGAGACCACAGACATGAAACCAATACACAGACCACAGGCTAGAGGACTGTCCAGCTTACTGTTCTTATCACTCATGTCATTCTTCTGTTTCAGTCTCCCTGAGTATGAACACACAGAGACAGGCAAAACACAAGACAAGACACAGGGTAAAAATGACAGTAGGAATAATAACAACAGCAGTTGGGGTCGTTCAGAGATTCACCGGTTAGATCAAAGAAGTTTTTGTTGTTGTTGTTGCTACTTTAACAAAATAGGAGGCTTTTCCTCAACTGCCTCCGTGCACAGCCCAGGCACCAGGAACCCACCAGAGCCTTCCTAAGTGTCAGGTTTTCCTTGGTTTAGTTAGCCTGGGCCTGATTGCTGTCTTGGCTCCCCGTGATGTCTGGCAGCCTGTGGTGGGCCTATCCAGTCTCTTGGCACTACTATTGTGCATTGTCCTTGGAGTTCCTAGGTTCTGTTGTGCATCCTAGGCATTGAAACCCTGCCAGTGGGTGCTCAGGTGCCAGGCCTCTAGGATTTCTATCTCAGCTCTCAGTCTCACCAGGGTGTCCCCAGGGTCCTAAGGTGTGTCAGAAAAAGAACTGGTGTCTCTGGCTGAACTCCCAAGTAACAAAATAGGCCATTTGACTTCTTGATGGTTGCTCTGGGTAGAGGAATATTGGATCTAGTTAGACACCCACCCTCAGGCCCCTAGATCAGGATTCTACAGAACCAGATGTCACAGAGAGTATCTATGACTTATCAGAGGAGGCCTCTATAAACAGATGCTTGTTGCTTTCTCTTGATGTGGTCTCTGGAAATGAAAGCATACCCCAGGGCTCTTCAGTCCTGGAGGGCTAGAGGAGCAGGTCCAGTTTCTGAATATGCACTGGAGTCTTGATCTCACTGGGGCCTTCAAATGTTAATCCCACAGATTCAAGGAGAAATACCATCAACCCAAATCATCATGGCCAAATTAATTAAAGCATGCAATTAATTGAAGCATTATTTTTAAAAAATTATGTACACAGACTGTCCCTCCAAAAAGGCAGGGTTCAAGAGATCAGCATTAGACATGGGGAAGATTTTTTTATATAGATGAAGAGTAGTGAATTTCCAAAGAGGGGGAGTTGGCAGGCAAGTAGGCAGGATTACAGAAGCAGAACAAAGCATAACAAGCTGGTTATACTACAAGGTAGACACAACAAGGCAGTCATAACAACATGGTCATAACAAGGTGATATTAATAACCTTTTGAAACAAAGACAGAGATACCATTTCCTGGAACAGGCAGTACAGAATCATTTCTAGTTAAGGTTATAGGTGGGTCATGGCCCAATCCTTGAGAAACAGATTTGATCAAAAACAGGAATGGATCTACTTTGAGTTTATGGTAACATGGCTTCCAAGTTCAAGACAGAGGCAGACTAGTTTATCAGTTTCTGGAAGACACTGTTTTCTTGGAGACATTCATCATTTTTGACTCTTAGATTTTTTTTCCTCTTCTGCATAGATCCCTTGAGAAGAGGGATTTGATGAAGACATCTCCTTTAAAGCCGAGACCTCCGACGTCTCTCAGTCCTTGAACATTTTCTAGTTATAGGTTTCTATGTTAATTACTATCTACTAAAAGAAGTTATTTCTCTGATGAGGGCTGAGTAATGACACTACACTGTAGGTCAGTCCTCACACTCAGGAGTCATTAGCTAACAAAAAAATTGACTCCATGTTTTGTTTTTATGGGTTGATTTTTGTAGGGAGTATATGAATCACTGAGTGACTGAATTCCTGAGTGAATGTGTATTTTGACATGGGCATAGTCCTGTCAAGGACTCCATGGGAAATTGGCAAAGCTGCTACCCATATGGTGCAGACTCAAAGGATAGGCAAAACTTTCCTTGGGAGTCTGAGTCTGAGTGTTTATGGACAATTGATCAGTGATCAGGACTAGCAACTACAGTGTCCTTGTCACAGATGTTTAAAGCCTGAGATTCTGCTTACAGACGCCTCCTATCTAGGCAACTCCTTCCCCTGTGCTGTACCTAATAAACACACCGAGGTTTCAGGTTGTGTCGGTAGCACAGAGAGCCCCACTTGGTCCAAGCTTCACTCTATGAGTATCTTTCTTTTCTTCATTTCCTCATAAACCCTAGACAGATCAGGGATCCAATCCACAAAACAGGGTTTTGTTGTTGTTTGGTTTTAGTTTTGCTTTAAGAGGAAGGAATAATATGAAGTTGGGTGGGTAGTGGGGAGCAGAGGCTCTGGGAGGAGAAGGAATATGATCAAAATGTATTGTATGAAAAAAATAAAAATAATAGGAAATTATAATAAAAACAGTAAACTGACTTCCAAGGCCTTATCACACCCATAGATCAGTGTACATCTCAACTCTCACTAGATATTTATAGTAGGTGGTGATTAACACAGAGACCCACAACTGGCCACGATGCAGAGAATAAGAAACAATGGAGTGCTCAGCCTTAAATAGGTCATCTATAAACACATCCCATCCTCCTAAGGCTCGGTGGTCATTGAAGACAAGGGGGCAGAAAAGACTGTAAGAATCAGAGGCAGTGGATGGATATAAGGAAACAAGACATAAGACTTGCAGTCATGTGACTGTATGCATGAGTCATATGCACACGTTCCTCAAGCCAAACCAAATCTCAGCATGGAAACAGGAGGTAGACAAGAAATCCCACCCCAAGCTGAGGAGCTATTGGCAATTGATAGCTGCTGGGAGAGGAAGAGTCAATTTTTGAAAATCATTGACCCTGGTAAGTTGACCACATTCCAGTGGTAGGCCACTCATCCATAAAGACATGGGCAGCACAGATTGGACTTGATGGGTGAAAATAAAAAGAAGAGACAAAGCTGAGTGGGGTGGATCGTGGGGCGGGGGGAGTTGAGGGAGGGAGTGAAGATGATCAGAACACATTATACGAAATTCTCAAAGAATTAATAAAAAAATTAAAAATAATTTTTAAAAGAATCGCTTCATTGGCATTCTTGCCCCTTATGTCGGCACTATCCTTTGTTTCAGAGAGCAAAATTCACGAAACTCTGAGGAGGCTTTGAAGTAAACCGTGAAGCAAGGAGCGTGTCAACATCCTGGCTGCTTTGTGCAATTTTCTTTGTCACCATTAACAAGGAGAATGAAGTGCTGGAAACCTGCCACAGCAAGACTCTGTGAGTGTTTGAGTGCTTTGCCTTGAGTGCATTTGAATGAAGTACTGGGCGTCCCAGAGGCAGAGGGGAAGTCAAGTGTAGAAAGCAAATTTGCCTGAGGCAGGGCTCATCATTACTTAGGCATGCGTCTGAGTGCTGAGTTAGAGGGCAGAGGCCTTCCTTCCCTCTCTGACATTCATCCCTGTAATCCTTTGTTCCATGCCACTCCACTGACCCCTAATGGAGATCTATCCTTTTAAATCTTCAAGGTTAGCATTGAGAGAGAGCCTAGGGGTTCTAGACAGGCGATCAATTCAAAACAGTGCTATACTGTGGCAAAGAGCAGACCAGGAGAGGATCAGAAGCAGGCAAGGTGTTATCCTGGCATCCACATGACCTGCTTCAACTTGAAATTTTCTGGACTTTAGGGTCAAGGTTGTAATTGCATTTTGACATCTGTATTAGTCCCTGATACATACACAGATTACAATGAATCCTTTCAAGGTGTCTGTGTTGAAGTCTGATGCTCTAGTCCCTCAAACTGAAGCTATTAAATCCTAGTTAGTAACAGGAACTCCATCTGTCCCAGTCTGCTATTCTGCCCTGAGCTGTTACCCACAATTTCCTGAGGCTAGGCTGCAGCCCTCCAAATCCCTCACACCGATAGGTGTAAACCACAAGCATTCCACCCTCTTCAGATTGGTTGGCCCAGAGCTGGGTCCAAAACACCAAGCCACAGAACTCCCTGATAGGCTAAAAGTGTATCACCATGGAAAGTCCTCAACTGCTTCTCCCTATATTACATTATGATTGGATGGGACTTGGGAGATGTCTCTGTGGTGTTCCCCTTTAAAACTGGCTACCACCCCTGCTTCAGGGACATGGTGTGGAGCCTGAACCCTACTGCCTCCCTGATACTAAATAAATTTTTGGCTTGGTCAAACCCTGTCTTTGTGGTGGATTATTCCTAGATTCTCGGACCCTAACATTTGGGGGCTTGTCCGGGATCTGGGAGTCTACTGGTTCGAGTCTCTGGCCAGGCTGTCTGCTCCTGGCCCTTTTGACAATCTCCTGAGATAAGCACTAGAGATTTTTGGGTTGTTGCACCTTTTTCTTGCACCCAAATAGGAGAAGTAGTATTGCTGGATGTAGTATTGCTCCTGGGGACAGGGGGAGACAAGAGATGTCTTGACTCCTCTCTGGATGACTTAGTTGAAGAGGCAACTGAGGCCTCCAGGCTCCCTCTGGGGAAGTGGCTGAGGCATCTGGTCTCTGGGGCTCAGAGGCAGCTGAGTCATCCGACCTCCAGGGGCCCCCAACTGGGAGTATCTGGAGCATCTGTGTTCCGGGGATCAGCCAGAGAGTCAGCTGATCCCCTTGGTTTTGAACAGGACCATGTTTACTGCTACCCTTGTCTCACTTTGTGGCATGCTGCCAGTTTCTGCATTTCTGTCAAGTCAGATACTTGGTTTCACTTTGTGTTCTCGCTATTGTCCTTCTCTCTTACTTTGAGATCACAGGACAGACTCCATCTTTGGGCCCTAATTCTCCCCTAGACCTTGTTTTACCACATGTCAAAGACTTCAAGAAGGCGACTCAGGAATCGGGAGATTCTGCCTTCCCCGGAAAGTTCCACACTCTGTCAGTGGCCAACTTTCAGAGTTGACCGGCCTCCTGGGAGCATTTTCAACCTCACTATTTCTCTTGCAATCCAGGCCAAAGCCTTCGGCCACCCAGGCCACCCTGACCAAATACCTTATATCGTGGCCTTGTGGACCCCTTCCTCCCAAATGCCTCCAACCCCACAGATGGGCCCAGAGGGAATACCTATCTTGCCTGCCCCTCCTTATTCATCAACATGTAAATGACAAATGCAGAGGCTACCCACGGTCCCCCTCCTACCTCACCTTCCAAAAGCTGCTGTGGTTGAGGACCATCAGGGTTCCTCCTCTGACTCCTGATTCCTTCTGCTCACCTCCCATATCCACTACAACCCCGCAGAAATTTGGTGGTCCTTTTCCCCATCTCCCTCTTTGAAATTACAGCTGGAAGAAGTAAGAAGAACTTTGTCTGTCTGTTTTCAATGCGTGGATATGGGCACTGAATGTTCGTTTCTGACTGATCTTGAATGTATGAGTTTACTGTGTTCTGTACATCTAGGCTGTAGCTCAGCTGTTCCTGTTGCAGCCAGCTACCTAGGCTCAGAATTCATCTCCAGGCACTCTGGTCACTGGATCTAATGTAATAGGGATTCAAATGTCAATTGAATATGGATAATACTAAAATTGTTTGATGCTGTTCTATTTTATTGAAGAGCTGGCTCTGGAATTGGGTTTTGGCTCACCATTTTTTAGACCCAGACTTGCTTTTAAAGTCTCTGTGTCCTTGTTCAGGGTCAAAAATTGGCGGTCAGGAAGAACAAAAGCAAAGTGTAAGTTAACTGGCTATGGTTAAAAAATTTATAATACTTGCAACAAAAAGGTTAACTCAAATTTTTAACAGAGGGTTAATAATCCAAGGGT